CCCCCCCCCCCCCCCCCCCCCCCCAGGCGATCTGGAAAAACCACGTAATATCGCTGTCGTCTCGGTACCCTTGGCGAGCGGAACGAAGTGAAGTGAAAAGATACAAGAAACGCGAGATACAAAGATCACTGTGAGGTCACTGCAAGATATCACATGAGAGGCCGCGTAAACACACTTGGCGTTCTCCAAACCAGCACTGTACATATATTTTATGCATTTGATAGTTACTGAATGTTTTGTGTGTCATCTGCTGGCTTTCGTGTCTTGTTTGCAGCTTTCGCAAAACTCACAAAAAAAATTCTCCTTCAATTTCTCATTCCGACACCGTGATGCGTGAAACTGTCAGGGGAAACATCGCCTGCAGAAGCGTAGCCTGTCCTGCATGCTACAAAAGACATGGGATGCTGTGTAAAATGTAAATAAAAACAGGATGCAATGATTTACAAATCATATAAACCAATATCTAATTGGAAATAGAATAAAAACAACATATCAAATGTTGAAACTGAGAAATTTTTATTGTTTTGTGACAAATATATGCTTAATTTGAATTTGATGCCAGCAACACGTTTCAAAAAAGTTGTGACGGGGGCGTGTTTACCACTGTGCTGCCTCACTTCTTCTTTTAACAACAATCTGTAAACGTTTGGGAACTGAGGAGGTCAGTTGCTGGAGTTTTGAAAGTGAAATGTTGTCTCATCCTTGCCTGATATAGGATTTCATCTGCTCAACAGTTCAGGGTCTCCTATGTCGTATTTTTCACACCATGATGCAACAAAGGGTGACAGGTCTGGACTGCAGGCAGGCCAGTCCAGCACCCGGACTATGAGCAGAATGCTGTTTGGCATTGTGTTGCTGAAATATACAAGGCCTTCTCTGAAAAAGACGTTATCTGGATGGCAGCACATGTTGCTCCAAAACCTGTATATATTGTTCAACATTAATGGTGCCTTCCCAGATGTACCCAAACCATGGGCACTAATGCACCCCCATACCATCACAGATGCTGGGTTTTGAAGTGTTTGTTGATAACAAGCTGGATGTTCCCTCTCCTCTTTACCTCGAAGGATTATCAGAAAGAATTTGAAATTTTGATTCATCAGACCACAGGACAGTTTTCCATTTTGCCTCAGTCCATCTTAAATGAGCTCAGGCCCAGAGAAGTCAGTGGTATTTCTTGATCATGTTTAGATCTGGTTTCTTCTTTGCATGGTACAGATTCATCCTGCATTTGTGGATGCAGTGACGACCTGTGTTCACAGACAGTGGTTTTCGGAAGTGTTCCTCAGCCTATGCAGTGATTTCCACTATAAAATTGTCTGTTTTTAATGCAGTGCCGCTTGACCACCCGAAGATCATGGCTATCGAATATTGCTTTTCAGCCCTGTCCCTTGTGTACAGAGATTTTTCCAGATTCTCTGAATCTTTTATAATATTATGTATTGTAGATGATGAAATTTCCAGATTTGCAATGTCACGTTCAGGAACATTATTCTTAAATTGTTGCACTACAGTATGTGCCCACGCAGTCTTTCACAGAACCTGGTGAACCTCTCCCCAAGGAGGCTCTTTTTATACCCAATCACAGTCTCTGCCTCTCTGGGAGGCTCTTCATATACCCAATCAGAGACTCTGCCTCTCTGGGAGGCTCTTTATATACCCAATCACTGACTCTGCCTCTCTGGGAGGCTCTTTATATACCCAATCAGAGACTCTCCCTCTCTGGGAGGCTCTTTTTATACCCAATCAGAGACTCTGCCTCTCTGGGAGGCTCTTTTTATACCCAATCAGAGAATCTTCCTCTCTGGGAGGCTCTTTATATACCCAATCAGAGACTCTGCCTCTCTGAGAAGCTCTTTTTATACCCAATCATCTTACTGACCAATTAACCTAATTACTTGTGAGATATTCAAACAGGTGTTTTGTTTTAGCATCACACAACTTTTCCAGTCTTTTGTTGCTCCCGTCCCGACTTTTTTGAAATGTGTTGCTGGCATCAAATTCAAATTGAGCATATATTTGTCATAAAACAATAACATTTTTCAGTTTTAACATTTGATATATTGTATGTGTTCTATTTTCAGTTAAATATGTGTTTATATGATTTGCAAATCATTGCATTCTGTTTTTATCTGCATTTTACACAGCCTCCCAGCTTTTTTGGAATGAGGGTTGTATAAAAAACATGATGAATGTTTAAGTTACTGAAATCGAGTTAAGACACATGGAATCCTGTGGACGAGCTACTATTCACAAAATTCACACTTTTCAGCATTTTCAATGATGTCACTTTGTTTTGTCCAGGTGCCAAATTATAAGCCACCAAATTACTTTTTTGTGTTGTCATTGCTGTCAGTATTATCAGATCACTGGTCAGTACTGTCATTGCAGTCAGTATTATCAGATCACTGGTCAGTACTGTCATTGCAGTCAGTATTATCAGATCACTGGTCAGTACTGTCATTGCAGTCAGTATTGTCAGATCACTGGTCAGTACTGTCATTGCTGTCAGTGCCGGGTGGATCCAGTCCAAGCTTTTATAGCTGTCACCGTTGGTCAGTTCTGGTTAGTGTTTTCATTGCTGTCAGTGGCAACTGGTACTTCCATTGCTGTCAGTGCTGGTCGGTGCTTTCATTACTGTAAGTGCCAGCTTCCTTTGTTCTGTGGTCTGTTTGTCGGTGTGCTGGTGCAGGAGGAGCAGCTGAGGTCCCATGAGACCAAGCTGAAGCAGATCACCTTGGAGGTGGAAGAGCACAGCCGGAATCCCCCGGACCTGACTCTGAAGACCAAGGAGTCGGAGGAGTACAGGCTGAAGGAGCACTATCTCACATTCGAAGTGAGTCATTTTTATAACGATATAAATAAGAATTATAATTATTTAACAGTTATCTAATCAGTGTCATGCACTTGTAAAATTTAAACAAGAAAACATAACAGAGCGCTGCCTAAAAACTGCAAAATAATGCGAGTATCACATTCACTTCAGATTGTTCCACCCAAAGCCACTTACAGCTGCAGTGTGAGTCATTTTCAGAATGGGGTATTTTCTGAGCAATCGGTGCTGTGTGCTTTCACACAGGACACAGTTACTGGCTCTGCTGGAGCCTCAGACGGCATCCTTGGGGGTAAAACACCAGATTATTAATCTCCATCTGCTGCCCCCTCCCCCCACCCCCAGCACTTACAGACCCTTCCCTTACGTCATGGTGTTAGCACACTTCTGCTCAGCAGCCAGGCCATTGTGCCACCTGCTGGTGGGTACAGGGAAAGCAACAGTGAACAGGGTGAGGGGTTAATGTGCTGTCTGTGTGCTGTCTTAAAAGGGTTCTGAGCCTGTCCTGTCCCGTTTGCTGAGCCGTCCTCTGAGTCCCCCCCGATTCACTCTCTCCCCCCTCCGCAGAAAAGTCGGTACGAGACGTACGTCACCCTGCTGCAGACCAAACTGAGGGCAGCCAGCGACGACCTGGACAAGATCGAGGCTTACATCCTGGGCGGCGAGGCCCCAGACGGGTACCTGCGTAAGACCCAGTCCAGCCCGGCCCTCAGCCACGGGCGCGGCTCCAACGGGCGGGCAGAGGGCAAGAGCAGCCTGGCTGACCAGGAGCAGCGGAGCTGAGACTGCAGGACTGCACATCCTAAAACAGTGTTTCCCAATCCGGTTCTCGAGGACCTGCAGACAGTTCACGTTTTTGCTCCCTCCCAGCTCCCGGTAGGAAGCAAAAATGTGGACTGTCTGGCAGGGAGCTGGGAGGGAGCGAGAACACGGACCGTCCCCGGGGACCAGACTGGGAAACACTGGTGTAGAGTATTATTATGACTGCTATCATTAGTTTCTTCATTATGATTATTATTATTGTTGTTATTAATATCATGTACATATATATTGTGCCAAAAATGAAAATGAAAAAAGAAGAAGAAATAAAGCCTAAAGCTGTATCCAGTGACAAGGGACGGCCAGTGCGAAGGAGGACAAGGTGCTGTGCGCAGGTGTGTGCAGCTGTGCCATCAGGCTGAACACTGTGCCTGCAACTGCGCGCTTACGCAAACGCGTGCACTCACATGCGCGGCTGACAGGCGTGCAGCTTGCAGTGCGTCATAAAGGGCTAAACTGCATGCGGCTCGGGATGAGCGCGACTCACATGAAGGGAGCGCATCCTGTCCTGGCTGCCGCTGTCTCTGCAGTGCAATACCCAAGCAGTGCCAGCAGAAGGCGGCGCTGAGGTGTTTTTTTTTTCTTGTAGCCTAATCATTGCACTTGATTGGGTTTAGGGTTTAAGCTAGAGGATGTGCCGTTTAATGTCGATCATATCCGCAGCATTTGGGTGCGGGACTTTGCTAAAAAGCCAGCCGCAGTAGGAGGAATTCCTGCACTTTGTGGATATGTGGTTCGAGTGTGGGGCCTGGCTGGTTCATGTGCATGTTGAGGGACGAGTGAGGCATGGATGTGCTTCTGACAGACAGGGCAACGCGCAGAGCATGGTCCGCCTCTGCTGCACGTTTCAGATCCCGGGTAACGTGACTGACTTGCTGAGTTCCTTCCTCCCGTCTTAACGTGATTTGTCGGAGGCCTTGTTCACACGTGGGGTCGTCAGCAGACGTGAAACGGACGGCTCACTCTTGTCACGGAGGGGTGTACGTGGAGAAAGAGAGAGCACGCTTCTCTCGGATTCAAGAGAAGACAGGATGTGGTGGAGGTATGAGGTGTCTGATACGGCTGCTGTCCCTGCTTCCGCCGGGCGCAGTGTCCGACGCCGTCCCACAGGACGGGGACTCTGCCAGACTGCGCGTGGTGCTGGGGACCATGCTAGGCTCAGTATTTTGCCAGGGTTTCCCTGGAATGAACTGTTGAACATTTTATACCTTCATAATAACCTTTCATATTCTGAGAGTCACATGTTGTTCCCTGCTCTAGTGCTGGCCTTTGTTTTCCAGATGTTTTAGATGAGTGATGTTGTCATATAGAATTGTGGCATTAATTTAAAATGTTTTTTTTTCCCTTAAGGAATCCCCAATACCATTAAATTGGGTTTCCCTTTTGACTGTTTTTTTTTTGTATATAAAAAAAAACTTTACAAAAATTTAAGTGCACTTTATGTTGCTTTATTTTGTCATTTTTTAATCTAATGCAATCATTTTTTCCCTTAATTTATCACTGAATTATCATGTAAGGAAATGCATTTCTTAGCATTAGTAAAATTACATAATGAAGGTTCTTTTATATTTACTTTGGATCATTTAGGTCACGTATTTTAAGAACATGTTTGGAAACGGTTATATGCAGATTTTGTTCTATTTAATACCGTTCATGGACTGAATAAACCTATGATACTCAAGTGCAGATGCTAGACGGTGCATATGATGGTGCCATGACGCTCTCTTAGAGAACCCGTCCGCGCTCCCATTCCGAAACTCTATAAGTGCCTGTCATTCCTGATCCTGCCGTTTCTCCCGTCCGCCCGTCACACAGCCAGTCGGGTGCAAGGCGAGTAATATTCACATCAAGTATTAATGTAAGTGATGTAACACGGAAACTGAAGCGCCTGGCGCGAATGCAAAGCAGACAAGCTGGTCATGCAAAATCACCCAAATTAAGGAACGGAAATTTGCCAGTAATAGGTGAGATCTATCTATGTGTCTGTCTGTCTAATCTGTCTGTATCCATAAGTATCACCTAAAAACAGTGGGACGAGACGCAACATATTTTGGGACGATGGGAGAAAATCGAGTGTCGGCATCAGTGTCACTTCAAAATGATTTTCTGCATAAAGGAGTACTTTTTACATTTGTCAAAGCTAGCCGACAAGAACTTACGTGCACTGAGAACAGGGATCGTCAAATTGTCCGTATACTGACAACTTAGTCCGTGACGCGATGTAATTGTCTGTGTCCGTGGCAAAATATTTTGATTGATAAATAATCCAATGTCCATGTTGAAAAATGAATATTGATCAAAATATCCATAAGAATTCACCTTGGTGTTGACCCCTTTACCAACACATCTTATTTTGTGGTGTTAATTTATAGGATCGTCGTTCCACATTTTAGGTAAAACTTTAAATTCAACATTATTTCTTACTGTTTTTACACATGATATGGATCTAGTTAAACTATTGCTGCTAATTTTCTTAAAATAACGTAGGTATCTATACGCCGTGCCGAATTCATTTGAAATTAATTTTAAATTTAAACTGATTAACTGAAATCTCTAATACCTCACCCTGGATTTACGCACGTTAACGTACCTTAAACATTAGGCCTATGCAAAATCGGAAGAATAACGAACTTTTTCCCATGTATTTTAATTATTTATTTGCAAATGTACATAGAAGTTAGACTATAACTAATTTTTCTATGAAATTATTAGGAAAATATGAATCATTGCATTGCAATGCAATTTTTCATTTTTGGTGGGCGTCACGTGACAAAGGAGGTGAGTTGGCATTTCATTTTCAATATGAATTCAATATATTGCCATAATATCGCATGTCGTTCAATGATGAGATCACAGCGTTATCTTCAGTACCCCGGACAGCGATCGACGCCTTGGCTGCCGGTTGTGTTGCAAACATGCACTTTCTGAGCATTGTTCGATGACGAATTCAGCTTTTCAATCAGAAATATTTACGAAATGCATCGATGTTTGGTGCCTCTCGTATTCTAAAACACTGTTCATAGTTTATAGAATGATGATCCTTTCATTACGTGCTAACAGTGAAGAAGAAAAAAAAAATCATTTGCTCGATCCCGACACTGTAAATCGCTTTTTTGTACGTCATAGCATTGGCTTGTGTCTTTGTTTGGTAAACCTGACCAGGTAGCTCTAAATGTCTTTCCCTGAATCTATTAGCAAACATGATTTTAAGGAAACTAATCAGCTTCAACATTTCCATCCATCCATCCATCCATCCATCCATTATTTACCTAGTACAGGGTTACCTTAAACCTTAAACTTATCCCAGAAAGCATAGTGCACAGGGCAGGGGAACAGTCATGGAAAATTTTAATGTAAATATACACCAATGAGCCAAAACCATTATTATGACCATCCCTATTTGAACTGAATAATGTTGACTACCTAGTATAAACAGTGCGTGTCAAGGTCTGGGGTGTATTGGACAGTAAGCTATAACATTTGGTGCTCCTAGTCAGCATGTCTAATGCAGAAGACATTGGCAGGGATGAAGATCTGGGTGACTTTGACAAGGGCTAAATAATTATGGTCAGACGACTGGGTAAGAGCATCTCAGAAATGCCAAGGCTTCTTAGCTGTGGTACCTACTGAGACTGGTCCAAGAAGGGAAAACCCAAGATCCACTGACAGGGTGTTGGGTGGCGATGACTCATTGTGGCGAGAAGTGAATGATGGCTATCATTTGTGGCACAACCCAACAAGGCTGTGACACAAATGGCAGGTAGTTTTGAGAACGATCATGGGAGGAATGTGACACAACACACAATACTGAACGTTAACTTACCATCTAATACAGCTCTGGAAAAAATTAAGATGCCACTCCATATTTTTTAAGAATCTGCATTTTTAAATCCTGGTTTAATCCCGGTTCTGCTGGCAGAAGGCAACACTGCGAGGCAGGTTGCTTCCAGGCTCAAGATTTCTAAGACAGCAGTACACAAGAACAAGGTGAAATAGGACACACTGAGAACAACCAAAATCCAGCCAGGCAGAGGGTGGAGGTGACTTTCTAATGCCAGAGATGATTGTCAACTTATCCGACAGTGCCCCATGAACTGAAGGATGATTTCAAGTGACAAGAATGGGAAGCATTAAGTCGTGTGTAGTGCACTGCTAAGACAAGTTCATAAGAGGCTCCTAGAAGCAGGACTGAAGACCCATAAAGTAATGAAGAAGCCCTTCATCAAGGAGAAGCAGAAGACCCGGGTTGGAGTTTGGAAAAAAAATGTATATTTTACACAGAAGCATACCCATAAATTGAGAAGTGAGTGAAACTAAAAATGTGAATGTGGTCTCTTCATTTTTTCCAGAGTTGTCTATGCCAAACCTTGACATGCACAATTTTTAATAGACAGTCGACATTATGTGTTCATAATGTTCTGGCTCATCAGTGTATATACATATAACTTAATTCATGAAGATGTTCTAATCCAAAAGCATATTACTACTTAGCATTCAGTTCCTTGAAAAGTACTGGGAGATATGGCACTTCAGTCAGGGGCACTGGAGGGTCTTCTGGCATTATAAGGGCCTCCATGCAATCTGAAGTCTATCTACTGCTGGACCTCTGTCTCTTTAGATTGAAAGTACCAACCCAAGTGGGATTCTGTCGCCAATACATTAAATGGTGGTTAATATCACACACAGTCAAATGGCACCTTATGTCAATGTGTAAATATTTCTGAAGCTTGCAGCAGTGTTGCTGTACCAACAATGTGCTTGAACTATTTGCGATCACCCAGGGAGCATCTGAATTACTGCATTGACTATTTCTGTAACCTGATCCATTTTCAAGGTTATCTGCACTTGAGATATGAACTCATTGATTTAAAATACATGTATTTTGGCTTATTATAAGTAATTTCCTTTATTAAAAAGATGACTTGATACCACTGAAGTTTCAAAGGAAATTTAATGAGATGAATGTACATAGAGCAGCAACAAAAGCAGAGGCGGCATGAAAACAAAAAAAAAATTCTAAACCAGAAAAGTACCACAGTCAGGTCAGGAAAGGCAACCATTCAATAATAAACTCTTTAAAATATAAGTATCCAGAAAGACATTGTTAAGACTTTTAGCTTATTTGGACAAAGCCATTTAAAATAATCAGAGTATTTTATCATGCAATACACTTTAATAAAACTGCACAAGACAAAATATATTACTGAAAGTTGGCATATTTTTCTGCAACAGTAAAGACACAAAGCCTTGAAAGTATTTCCTATGCTGTGTAGGACCTATCAAAAATATTTGGAATTTTCACATTTTAAAGTGCAAATGTTAATCCATTAGTTAAGTTCTTTGAGTATAAAATATTACAGATAAAACTATTTTAGTTATATTTGCTCATAGAGGGACATCATACATAATAAACAAACCATATGTATGCACATCTTACACAGAGATTTTTTGTTTTCCTTGGGGGCAGGGGGGGAGCATAATTGGAATTGGAGTATAACAGCCTAAGAGAATCCGTGAATACGGTGTGGAAATTTAAACACTTCTCTGATGCTTTACACACACGCGTATGCACTCACAGTCACAGAACAACACAGTGAAATCAGCCTTTGTAAGTAAGTAACTCCCATTGTCACTCACAAGGGATTGGCGTTATAGATCAGGCATACTGGGTAAATGGGAAAATCACAGAAATTGCTCTGTAGGCCCTTGCCGTTCTCATTAAAGCAGCAAGACATCAATCCAATAGATGATCCCACTTTATTAGTGACGGCAGAGATCCTCATTTCAGTGTTACCATCAACATTGAATCTTAATCATTGTTGTGCTTTGTTTTCTGTCGTGTTTTGTTAATAAATCTGGCTTCTCTGGATACTCAAATCATGTAACATTTAGATCTGATGTATGAAAGCACAAGTATTCACATGTGAGTTATAAATTCCAGCGGAGAGAGACTTCGATAAATCTGCTTCAGTGGGTATTAATAGGTTAAAGTGGTAACGTTGCATGATATGCATTACATATGTTGTACTACATGGCACATGGTGTCTGTTGCTATATTACTGACTTTAAACCTCCTGGAACTTAACTTTCAATAGCCTGTTGAAGGCACTGAATATCTAAGAGAAGAATAGAAAATTGCTCTATATTAAATGACAGCAGCCATTTTGAAAAACAGCTGCAACACAGCACCAGAGAGTTAGTAGCACCTAAGCTGATGAAAATTAAAAAAAAAGACTAATTTACTTCTTCATTTTAGCTAAATGTGTTAGTACTGACACAAAATGTTTTATTTTAGGATGCGTACACAACTTTGATGGTTTTATTTACTGTGTGATTTGTACCTGCAGGAAGTACAGAGGCAGCACATGGTACATCAGATCAATAGTAAAAGTGGGGGGGGCATGTGCTTTATAAGTGACAAGATGTCTACTTAAGTGGAACACCCTTCATTCTCCGGTCAGGGTGTGCATTTAGAATTCAACAAGCAATTTCCCGCATGAGCTCACAGCACATCTCAGACAGGCAATATATGTAAGTTAGCAAGGATGGAGACCACACAAAGCTTAAAAAAAGAAATCGCCCACAGACAACCGGATATATTCCCTTTTTAAAATATATTCCAGGTGGGTCTGCTGTGGCTAAATGCTAAAGATGGCACACAAAACAGTCTAGTGGTTCTAAACAGTTTCAGCCTCAGCATCCAGAAACAATTGGAAACATCTGCCACATATTCATAGTCACTGCATGTAATTCCTGTGAGGTCATTACACAATAATTACCACTGTTTTCAACAGTAAGGCAAGCAGGTAAGCTGTTATGTTTCAGATATTAGTTTGAGGCATTATAGGATTATGTCAGAAAACAACTAAGAGTAAGACATTGTTTCCAAGTGGTTTCCATATAAGTACAAATTAAACACAGAAAAAAGACGTGATGTAACACAAACATGGAGTAGCAATGAGAGCAGTGATATTTTTACCCACATATAATGAAAAAGTTGACAGCATAGAGAGTTGTAAGATAACTACGTTACACATTTATAAAAAATTAAAAAAAAAGCACCTGTGACAGAGATCAGACACACTGTGCTGCATCCTTTTAACGTGAACTGTAAAGGGTTCCTCCTGCATTCTGCTACTTGACCTGCGAGACCAGTACTGCTTTAGTGATTACATGCTGGAAGGTGAGTGCTGGGTAACCTCTATACCAGTAAGTGGCCCATACTGTAGGTCACTTGGATTGGCTGCTGGATTCCTGGACCCCCCAGGACTATCTGTCTGTCTAATCAATTCAAGCCTTGCTTAGAGCTCCAGAACAGAACTATTGTATTAAAAAAGATGACCATATGGAACCCCATGGGAATAGTTATTTCTTACTCACTGGTAGTTTTCCCCCCCCAAAATACTGACCATCAAATACAATCCCTTTTCTTTACCCACTATGCCAACAATAATAATAATAATAATAATAATAAAATAACAATAATAAATAGCAGCAAACAAAAAAACAAGCTTGCATCCAGCTGCAGCAGAAAGCTGACTTCAGTCAAAACATTTAAATAAAGTAATGCTATAGAAGCAGTACATATATTTGAACATAAAACAGACATAACAGAAAGCAAGATTCACATAGAAAATACCAGGACCTTTGTTAGTGATGACAGTTGCAGTCGATCCAGTATTCACCCAAGAATTGTGGCATTTATATAGAGAATTTTAATATAGAATTTCTAAAGGTCCACACTGATTGAACCCTGTTTATGCAACATTTACAGACCAGTCCCCATTAAAACTGAAGACACATGCAAACATACTTAAAAAACGCTTTCAAATAAAGGCTAATTATGTCATATTTAGCAAACCTTCATAAACCTGTATTTGTCAAAATACAAGTTAGTCAATTTCATTTGAAGGAAACTTAAAATTATATGTACCAAGATTTCCCCATATATATATATGTTAGTTTTGAATAAATGAAATGTATTTCTGTATTGGTATAACTGTGTTATAAACATTAATATCAATAAAATAAAACAGGAAGCATATAATGCAGAAATAAAAACATAACAAAACCTCCATAATGGAAGGATCAGTCATACATATTTCTGTAAACTTTTTTTTTTTACTTGATGCATACCAGGTAACACAGCAGCATGTCTCAACTGTATGTGCCATTCATTTTTATTCTTTAAGACACGATATGCTACATATTCTCACACAAGGGATGCCTGCCTAGCTTGAGGGACAGAGAGCGAGACAAACCCTCCAAGCAGCACAAGCCGCACTCCAGCTGTACAGGGGATTTGCCGTCTGTCAGATACTGATAAGTGAGTTACTGATACTGATGAAGTAACCCTAAATACTGCTGATGTTTTTCCCCTCAAAGAATAAGAAGAAAAATCAGCTTCAGGCTTTCAAATATTTAATATACATTAATTGCCAACATTGGCACATACAATATTGCACAGAGTAACAAAATCTAGCACTGAAATTTTTGTGGGGAAAAATAAACCAAAACATTCAAAATGAAAAATAACACAGTAATTTCTTTTACGGGGAAAAAACAAAAATCAAATAGATCCCCTACTGGAGATTTTTAATCACATAATACAGCACACACTGTCATAATGATTCACGCACAGAACACAGAAGGTGCGTGTGAGCTGCGGTCTCCAGACCACTGCACGCTCACTTCCTGTGCTCTTTGCACACTGCGCATGGGAGAGAAAAGGAAACACAGGCGAATACACCTAACACGATAGCTCCCATTATGACGTGCGGCCTTCTTGGAAAGCAAATTAATAAATTAAGGGAATATAACATTTTTATCATGAAAAACAAATGAAACAAAACAAACCATCTTTGGGTTTTTTTTTTTCTTTTGAAGGTCTGGTAAATGCAATCACGCGCAAACAAAAATAAAACAGCCCTCCAGGACACCAAATCAGTATGTAAACATGAGCACTGTTTAAGGCACCAGATTGTTTAAACGTAGACCTATGCTCTATGAGCCTCAACATGCACCGGTAGCAGTTTCCCGTCTACCTGAGCATTGATAACTGGACCTTCTCGTCTCCTTTTTCAATGCTGAATATCCTTTAAATTATTGTTTCATCATTACCCACAGAAAACGTGGGTGTTTCTTAAGGACTGAAATATATCTGATTCACAAAATCATAGTTTTTATATATATATATTTTTTTTTAAGTTGACACTTCAAACCATTTGCCCGACATTTCTATAGGGTTGACAATCTGATAAGAACAACAGTGACTTTAGTAATCAGAACAGCAATGCGTATATGACAGTCCTCCAGCCCCAAGACTCTCTGCAATCCTCTGCACCTCTAAATCAGGTATGCCTATAGCAGGGTGGACAAACTCCTTCCGCAGGACCACATGTTCCTTGAAAACCAGGTGGACAATTCAGAAAAAGCAATAAACCTGCAAGTGCCATTTAAAAAGTGTTCCCGTTGACAGAAAAGACATAAACCAGCTGAATGAGTCCAGAGCTGAGGCAGAGATGCATATTGTAACACACGGAGTTTCTAGGTACCTTGAACTCTATAGAGATTTCTGCATAATGCTACAACAGACCACCGACATGCCTAGCTTTCAATCACATATGGTAGACTCTTGGTACAAGAACACAAAAAATTAAAAATACCGTCACAGGACGCTTTAAAGCCCTTTCCTAGTGGCGTTATTTTGTGCACAATACATTTTTATCTTTTTTTCGGGTCATAACTGTCCACTGCAGTTTAATTTCAGTTCTCTTTATAAATGTATATACTCATACGTAAATATGGTTGTAAATATATTAATATAAGTTATTTAAAAAGACTTGTTTTGGTAAAAAAAAAAAAAGTTTCTAAAATATTTGCTTTGTGCTAAAGTCAAACGTAATACACGAAAAGCCCTACTTTTCCATGTCATCTCAACACCACAATGTCTGACCACTGAAATTTCTTTAATAGCTTACACGTGTAAAAATGTTCGTTAAGTAGGGAAATAAACACTAGGCTTTTTTATCAAGTACGAAACACAGTTCATATATGCCGTTACTGTAGCAGCCGCTTACTGTTTTAATGATGGATAAGTGGGTAACATCCAGCGATGGGAGAAAAGCCGTAACTGTCAGTCTGTGAAGGTTTCTTGTTGGTTAAACGATGACCGCTTAATATAAGTTTGTCTTATTTTTTTTTAATAGATTCTCCTCCTATAGTTCTGTCATTAATTTATTTAGATTATCAATCATCGTCGCCGTCGTCGTCGTCGGCGCGCGGCTCCTCTGGATGCTGCTCGCACGCGCGCCTCTCGCGCTCCTGGATGTGCCTCATCTCCTCGGCGTATTTACAAAACGTTTGGCCGAACTTGGACCACACCTTGTGGGGCACGGTGATGGAGTTGCGGTACGTGGGCTTCACTTCGCTGACTCTCATGAAGACGCCGTACTTGTTGGAGCCCACGTCGAAGAAGAAGCGCTTGTTGTCGACCGTCAGCGAGGTGCCCTCCGGCAGCTCAACCGGCTCGTCTTCCACCCCGTAGTCGTCGATCAGCTTGGCCAGAGCATCGCGGAACTCGATGAGTCCCTGGGCGGGAAGAGCGATCGTCTGGCCTTGAGCGAATCCCAGACCGGGCCCCCGGTTGACGGTCTGCCGGATCCGCAGGAACCTGCCCCGCTGGTTCTCTTTAAGGTCCATGTAATATTTCCTATTCTCCCGGACGAGAAATTCACTCTTCAGTGCCCTACGCGGTTCGTCCTGCACTTTGTCCGGATTGCTGGGCCCTAACTGAGCATAGTGCTCGATGAAGTCCCCCAGGTAGTCCCGAAACTCCACAGCAACCGACATAGAGAGAGTGAGGCGGCTCTTGTTTCCTGCGGCCCCAACCTCCGCTATCTTTAGGAAGCGACCCTTTGCGTTCTGCTTTACGTCCAAGTAGAAGCGTTTGTTTTGGATGTCGACTCGTTTAGAGGCGAGCTCTTGCGTTTCATGCTGCAGCCCAGGAGACGAACCCGCCCCTCCTAGAGATGGGTGCAGGGGGCCCGCAGCTGTCGCCGCCGCCGCCGCTGCTGCTGACTGCTCCAACGCACTGTCTCTATCCGCCATGATGCTACCTCCGTGCCCGCTGCTCACACAGCCCTGCCTGTTGCGGCCCAACTGCCAGTCAGCTGCGTCGCCGCTGTTCTCGCGAGATCTGCGGAGAAACAGCGAAACCCTGATAAACATCCTCAATACCCTCAACTACGACTCAGCGCGTTTGTGCTGGTCGGATTTACATAATATACCGCCCTTTCTTATTATAAAACATAAATAAACAAACAAACATAATTGTCCGCAGTTTGTTTGTGAAGGTTAATATTTTGTCATATCTATTATAAAAGACAAACACGTCCACTAACCAGCTACCAAACTACTACTATTAGAGTAATAATTATGTCACAAAATGTAAGTTCCTATACATCTACATAAGAGTATACATATAGATATATGCTTAAAACTGACTCCAATTTAAATGCATTGCGTCGAGCTTATTAAACAGTACAATTTAGTGCGCCGAGAAAATAAAATACTGTCTTTACAAAAAATAGATGAACGAAATTATTTTTAGTTTTAAATATCGTGTTAATAACCACAATTTTTAAAACAAAAATATATAACGATAGAATACAGCTATTTGTGTGTCTTCAGATTAGAGTCTTACGGACATTGGGAATTACCTAAACCGTATATCAGTTCAGTTAGCAAATAAAGACGTTTAACAACGTCAAAGGTCTCCAGAGTTAACTGATTATTCAACTTTAAAATTAAATAAACCAGTAACGACAGAATAAGCCTGCTTTACATTTTTAACAATTACTCGAAAAATAATTGCTTTACATTTATCATCCTATTGTATAGATTCTCTGAGCATTTAAACAATTACTTATCCAAGCGCGATGAGAGGTCGGATCACATCTCAACAATAACAATTCCATTAAAATTTTATATACACAGAGAGAGGGCGATTAGATGAAATCGCATATGGACAAACAAAAGACTGCAAAACATCTACATTGTTTTTATATTTACCCTAAATATTGTACTATTTGTGAAATATGTACGATTGATAACACTACATTATATGATAATCATAATGCATTCATTTTGGATTTGAGAAACTTTTTTTCCCTAATGTTATTATAACGTTTTCTAATGCTATGTTTCTAGTTTTTAAACGTTTTGCAGCCAGAACCTGCCCATAATTGAATTTAGCAAAATTTAAATTGTTTCGTATATTACAATCATTCTCCCGTCACATTTAAAATCGCAGTCTTACACTGAAACAAACTATTTCAGTATTGTATTAAAACAACAAACTGTGTCCCATAAAATAAACCAAGAAACGCCTATCCTACAGTCTGAAATTACCGTTCGAATATTCACACATATCATACATCAAACGTATATTACAAAGGTATACATGCAATCGGGAGAGCAAACTTATTTCGTGTAAATCATTAATGATTTTTTTTCTTTAGGACCTTGACAGTCCTAAAGAACTTATTCACAGTCGGAAGATCAGACTAAATGAAACTGCAGCCAACTGACAAATCGGAAAATGAAAAAGTAAAATGTTGTCAAGACAACTGTTAATGACAATAGTTCTTTTTTTAACTTGATTGAAAAATACGGCATATATTTGCAACACAGTATCCCTGTCAAATGAATTATTCATTACTTGATAAATTAATCCTAATCTTCCACTCCTTCATTTATTATAATTCTTATTATGCATTATTATTATTATTACTATTAAAATTATTATATTAGTAATAATAATACATGTAACAATAACAATTATGATGATGATGATGATGAAGCATGAAGGCAAGTGGATTATAAAATAATGCAAGTAATACCTAATTATCCCGTCAAGACATTTTAGGTTTACAAGGACAATAAGTCTCTTCTTAATTTGCTTTTTCTAACACTTCGAATTTTTTTCCTGGAAGTGACCCATGCATAGTCATCTAATCCATAGTCATCTAATCCATAGTCATCTAATCCATAGTCATCTAATCCCTTTTTTGACTGAAATTTGATATAATTCATAAAAATAAATAAGAACTATCCTAAATAGTTCAAAATACAACGTAATCATCGACGATATTAAAAAAGAACTAAGAGCGAAAAAATGTTAAGAGGTGAACACAGCAACAATAAGCAGTAGTAACAATTAGCAAAAATAATTAGGCCCTATTAGTAGTTATTAATACAATTTTTATTTTATGTAATGCCATTCAATATTTGTCATTCAAAACATTTCCGGCACAATTTTTTTACACACGTTTTTGGCTATAAAATATACAGACCATTCAGAGGACAATTAAGTGATTCATAATATTCTTCGATTACCAACTAACCAATGATAATTCGTATAGCCGACTAGGTCGTGAACTCAATATATTTAAAATGAGTTCATGTGCAGACACCATCTTCGAAAACTTCGCTTCTGTGTTTAATTCATTTCAAGTTGCTAAACTACTGACCGGTTAGTTTTAGAAAACAATGCATGACGATTTCTAGAATGCTAGAACAAGTCATCAATTAACATAATATAAAAATGAGACACCCTACTTGACAGATGACATCCTGAACATGTACTGACGTGCATGTCACTGCACGTAGACAATAATCACCCAAGTAATTTAATATGTAGTCTGACCTTGCTTATAGCACATATATATTAAAGCATATGCCGAAGCGATGTCAATTAGGAGAACAGTAAGGGATTTGAACCTGATAGTTTAGGCAGAACTATACAGCACTTATCAATTACTGTACCGGCTGGCCTGCTTCAGTGATGGAATACAAATATATATAAATTACAGGCCCGCTTCCTAAAGTAACACATAGTCAGGTAACCACTACTTTACTTGAAAGTATTTAATTCAAAGAAGCATTGATTTAACAAACAAGCAAATTCATTCTTATTTATGAAAAACTGATTTAATAACACAATAAAACATTCTTATATGTAAGCCATATTTTATTGCAAGACATATTAATGAAACATTGGTGAAGATAAAATGCGCGACTGCAGTTGTCTACTTTAACATCATAGGTTTCAAATTATAAGACGTATATTAAACTTAGATATTAGAAAAAAACATCTGAAGTATAATAGCACTAGTTAATTATACTGAATGGTGCATTAACGCAATTATTTTAAGCAGAGTTCTCTAGTGAAGTTCTCTCTCATATCTGCTTATCTATTGTCAAAGTCATCTAGTTGGTCAGTTGTCCAATACCAAAGTTGCAAGTCTAATATTAAACAAATAGGTCTCTGTGTCGTGACTGCGCTGACGTTTGACACTTCAAACCATTCGCCCGACATTCGTCTAGGGTTGACAATCTGATAAAAACAACAGAGATAATCGCCAATGACGGAAATTAGCACATATTAGGATGCTTTTAATCGATATCAAAAATGTCCCTTTGTCTAAGCAAAGCTAGCGATGCTCTCTCAATTAGGTCAATCCAGACTTTGGACTTTTGGATCTTCACACCGTTAACTTCAGTCGTCCTAAATAACAATAAATTAAGGAATACTACTCCGAGATTGTTTACAATGAGTGGAGGATAACGAGAGAGGCAAAATCTGAAATCTATAAGGAACAAATTGAATGGTTTAGGCAGTGTTATCAAAAGTCAAATTCAACACGTTTTTACGCATAATCACCTAAAAAAAACAAGCTGAAATGTTTTTACAATTAATGAGTCTGATTAATTAATTATACATACACAGTGTATATATAAGCAAATATATATTTATGTATGTATGCATATATGTATGCAAGAAATGATCATCATTTAATTTTTAAAGCTGATCGAAGATTTGATTTGACGGTTATTAAGAACATGGATTCATTCGGGATTTTCTCTTTTTGAAATTCTGGGCGGGAATAAAAAATATGTGTGCCCGATCATACAATTGCATCAACTCTCTTTCGAAAGTGATGTTGTCACGCGAAACACTGACTTTTGAACCTGCCACCGAACTGTCACCATTCAATATCTCTTACATGAAGAGTTAAACATTTTGGAAGTTTGATACGTAGCTCTTCACAGGTCAGTGTTATGCAAAGCATGACAGATTTCGCCAGGACATTTGAAGTGCAGTACGCACGTGAATAGGGATGTGAATATTAAAAACAATAATTCGAGGTATATCAATAGCGATTATTTCGATTGCAATTTGACAACAAGGTACTGTAAATATTTTATTGATGCATAAAATGGGTTAAACAGCGACAAGGTTCTGTAAATCCTACCTCAGTATCTCTACAGGCTGAGCGCTCAGAGCCTCTGGACAACCCGTCGCCGGCAGTTACCACTGCTGACAAGAGGAGGACAGTACTGTTAACTGGGCAGCCATCTATTACTGACGCTACTAAACTCCTAGCATCAGTTGCTATACAAGATGGAATGAAATAGCGAGTCGTGGCATGGAGACGGACGCACGCACGGCTATAACGACGCACGTTTGTTTCTCTGACGTCAGCACGTAGAGTTCCCCGGGACTGCAGCAGTCTTTCGCCTCTTGCTGTGACGAGGAAGGTATTGCAGCTATAGGGTTCGAGAGGGTTGGGCGCCTGAAGTTCACGGTTTGGAAATCCAAAAATCCGAAGTCTGGATCGACCTAAACGAGAGAGCATCGCTGCCTCGTCTCGAAAATGTCCGTTTTGCTTAGACAAAAGCACATTTGCGGTGTCGGTTCTGAAAAGTATCGTTATTTTTGCTGATTTTCGTAATTGGCGAGTATCTCTGCATTTCGGGTTTGAAAGACGTCAGCGCAGTCACGACACAGAGACCTACGGCGGCTTTTACTGCGGCAAAATAAAAGGAGCTGTTTTACTATCTCCGAATAAAATGACACTTGTACTTGGCAATGTAACGTTTGGTTAACTAGCTACATTAACTTAAAACATGTAGACAGATTAAAACAAGTGTTTAAGAAGGTCAAATTACAATAACTAATTATATGGTGGTAGAGAGGAGGATTTATCTATCTATCTATCTGTCTATCTATCTATCTATCTATCTATCTATCTATCTATCTATCTATCTATCTATCTGACTGACAGTGACTGTGTCAATCTTTTCGTATCCTGGCTACGTACAAAGGTACTGTTGAAATGAAATGATTGCAGCCTTACATGACATCAGTTCTAATTATTATTAATTTTTAATTCGACTATAATTCTCCTTGTGTTAATAGTTTCTCTGACGGTATTCGTCTGCAGGAAGTTCAGCAATATTTTAAAATAGCATATAGCTACACAGTAATCGAAGTAAGTAAGCTTATTAAAAACTGTAACCGTTTTTATAACGATCGGAATATCGATTTTCTACTCTTTTTTTTCGCCCACTGTCTTTTGGGAGTAAAAAAAAAATCAAAGTCAACAATTAAGATTGATGTAGACTCCATTTCTTTAGCCGACCATTTAACTCGTGGAAACTACAAAAATAATAGAAAATATTTTTTTTACTCTGTGAATGGGCAGAAAACATTACACGTTAAAATATAAATGCGTTATGATGCTGTCATTCGTATGATTTCATGGCACAATATGCTGCAAAAACAACCCCAAAACAAACGTAGATGCTCTATGACTGTCTTTATGGGAATCAAAGTCATGTCAAGTCTTGGTTGTCAATAGGGCTTACCATGTTTCAGTACCATGGACAGCACCCACGCTCTATTTGCCACTGACACTAACCAAATTTGAACTGTGGTTATTAACCTCACATTATGGTCAATAATTTGATATATATGCCCATGAATTTCCACATAGTATTTGGCATGGTCATGTATGTATCTTTGTTGCCTGATTTTAATTGTTTCAGGCTTTTATAAAATGTTATCACTGGGGGGGGTTTGCATTCCCCATTGTGGAGTTTGTTCCACCATGTGGGACTTCTTCAAGTACTGCAGTTTGCCCCCACAGTCCTAAGACATGCAGTAGATTGCAGACTCTAAAGTGCCCATAGTGCGTGCGTGTGTGTGTATGTGTGTGTGTGTGTGTGTGTGTACATGCATACATACACAGACAACACACACACATACACTCCTTTACATATGTGAATTTTTGGATTCCATACAATAATGGATTAGTAAAGAAAACCAGTACAACTGGATTTGAAAGAGAATTACTTAATTTAAATATTCATGTAAGAACATACTGACTTTCTTTAGATCAAGAGCAATCAATAAGCAATTGGAATGAATTAAGTATCGTTTCATGAATGCATATTTGTCAGAGGTTCTCATTTATTTTCATGTAGTTTCAGTATATATGGTGAACAAATAGGGTTTCCACAGCAATGACGAGTTTACATTAAAGCGTGTGGTGTGTTTACTCCTCTCCGTTTCATGCTGTTCACAAATCCAGACCCCAGAAAATAAAGCTGATGTTTAAATGAAGAGAACCCACAATGTACAGAACAATGCGCATCATGAGTCCCATTACATCGTCTTGCGATGTTTTTGCGATGAAAAAATTTTTTTTTATTATTTATTTTTTGCTAAAAAGTGGCAGACCTAAGATCATGCTGGTGGTAAAAGATTATTCAATTGACTCAGTTTTGTTGACAGTAGCTTGACTGAAACAAACATAGCATCTAATAATTTAATTTAGTTATGTATTTATAGATATATAGTAGCATCAAACAATATAGGCCTACATCCACAGTATGACATCAAGGACATGGGATGAGCACCTACAGTTTATGCTCACTGTAACTTCTCCCCTACCCTTGATATGATTAAAAGTTTACTTAATAAACATACAAGTTTTCTTCCACTGATAACAACCTTGATATGTATATAAATATCATAGTAGTATAATATATAGGCACAGGGCCATAGTCAGGATTTTTTAAATACTGAGGCCAGAAGTGTTAGTCCTTCCTAGGTGTGCCCTGTAATGGATCATGGTTATTGCAGTTGCAGAAAAAACACTTTGGACTTGACCTCGGTATCCTCAGTGGTAGGTGTGGGCATGTATACGCAGTTATTACAACTGCAAAGATAATGGCTGAGTCAGTGAACGAGAGTGAATCCACAGGGTTGGTGGATGGGGTCTCTCGGCTGATATCTGCCGTTCTGTCCTGCTATTGTCACGTTGCTTTTGAAAGCTTTAATGAACGTGACTTAAACAGCAGATGTCGCCCTTTACGAATATTTATCCACTTTCCCGCGACATGACGGCATGGTTACACTGCGTTCCGGGTAAATCGTAGATGCCTGGGCTGCGCTAGGTATCCTGGTTACCTCGCATCTGCACCTTCGGCATGAATGGTTCTGTATGACGTATTCATACAGGAATAGTATGTTACATGGTGTTTCCCACCTATAGCAAACATCCTAACGACCCCCTCATGATGTGACCGTTCATGCGGTGATGTCTTTGCATATAATTCTCTGAAAACGTGCATTTAGTACTTGGGGTTTGAGTGAATTCATTCTATCTGTTAGATGCAGCGGAGCGAAATATAACCTGAATGTACGATATATCCTGTAAATTAATGATGAAAAACGCGAAACCGTTTCGGGAAAAAGAATGGTTGAGTTGAAATCGCTTAGTCTGGTTTGCAAGCGCAGGTCGATGTATCCAGCGCGGCAGCACGTCTGTTGAGTCACTCTACAGTGAGCATCTTTCCATCGCTTTTTTCTGAGAAAACTATTCATCGCAAGACGATGTAATGGGACTCATGATGCGCAACACGATGCCTCAGTATGTAATTTTACTTTGATTTACTGAATAGTATGATATTGTTGCGAAGATGCACAGAGCGCCATTGTTTTGCAGGTGGTTTTGGCAACCTGTAGTTCTGAATCGTTCCGTCACATAATTTCTCCGTTTTTTTTTTTGTTTTTAAAAAAAACCTGTTATCTGGGTTTAAGTTGTTTATGATACCGATTGGTAGGATATATTTGCTCTCGTAAGTTATTCGCTTGAATAAGAAAGAAGGGAGCTTTTGCTGAAGGGCGCGCTGCATGGTTGCATTGGCAAAGCAAAAATATTTCGCGTTCTGTTTTTGCCGAGAAAATATTTTTTTCCCCAAATCTTTAGCTGGACAACAGAAACGGACATATTCGCCTCTCTGCATAGTACATGTAGGTTGTTTCCAATGAGAAGCAGCGCGATCACCTCGAACGATGGCATTCTCTGGATGAAGACAAGCGGCGTCTTGCAGAAGCTGTGATACTGGATGCGTCCATTAAGAAAGGAAAAGACAAATATATGAACGTAACACACAGCCAACAAGAATGATATAATCTGCTTCGTGCAATGGATTTTTAGCAGAATACAGAGACTGGATTTTTAACCCAGCATCATTACGCCGTTTCCGGTTCCTCAGTGGTGTTTCCCCATAGCAAACTGTATCGGAAAAGCAGCAGATCCAGATGGCATGGACACTTCCGCAAGGTCTGCCGCTGTGCCGTGCTGCTGGAGCTTTCTTGCAGTCTCCTACTCCAACTCAGCTCCATCATCATCACCCAAGCGCCCCGAGAGCACTGCAGCAACGCGACCAGCAATCACAGAGCCAAAGCAGGCGGCATGAGGCTTGATTCAGTACATTTCTCCATGCTGGTCATCGGGGTCTCCTTCGCCTGCTACTCCCCGAGTTTAAATTCCCTGCAGGACCAGGCTTACAAATCAGCGGTGGTTATAGAAGGCAAGGTGCAGTCTGTGCCTGTGAATGTCTCAAAGGAGCCGTACAGTGTGAATGTCAAAGTGCTAGACGTGTGGCCGCTGAACAGCGGGGGCCTGGAGCGGGAGCAGCTCGTCACCGTCGGGGAGTTCGGCTCGGAGGCTCCGTGCACCAAAGTCAAAAAGAACCACAAATACATATTTTTCATGGACCCAACAGACGAGCCCCTAGTATTCAAGGCATCCTACGCTCCCCTAGACACAAATGGCAAGAATCTAAAAAAAGATGTTGGGAGCATCTTGTGCGAAGACTGCGGTAAGTTTAATCCTTATTCCTCTTTGCGGTGTAAGCGCTCGGTAATGTTTAAGGATAAATACCTGTCAGTCCTTTCACCAATTTTATCGCGCCTTTTTGTTGTGTGATTAACTGGTGTAAAGCACGATTTTATGTTTTGGTGATGGAATGAAATTCTAAAGTGTAAGTAACAGATGGGTGTTTGTGGGGCGTCTCTGCAGCATTGCTCCAATTAGGGTAATGTAGAAATGTCCCTATTAGACTCACAGGAAATCTGAATACACGTGCATATATTAAACGCTGGTACTTTATGGGCATTTATGTAAATATGACACCAACTTTTATTAAACAAACACTTATACCGTTGTAATATTTGTTATCACCAAGTGGGTGATAGGGTAGGTTGTGGGAACGCCGATGTTGTGCATAATCGATACGAGCATTTAATCGCTCTGTTTTAAGCCATTTTAGTTATATGCTGTGGAATGCACATAGGGCAAACGTGGTGAGCATGAATGGTTTTACTTAAGAAATTACTAGGTAAATTTGGAAATACATGGAGTCCGTCAATCTAGTAATAGTTATTTCTCAGAAGAAAGGGGAAACTGGGAAAAGACCACCCTAAGCGAAGTCCGGTGATCTCAGTGCGGGTATTGGCGCTGTACCCCCTTGTGAATGCTGGCCTCCACACTGGACTACCGGAGAAATGGGATCCGTAGGCGATTTGGCGAGCGGATTAAACCTGATTATAACCGGCACCGTGTCACATCTGCTGAATGCCCTTTTTAACCAGAATAGGATCCGATATTATATATATATATATATATATATATATATATATATATATATATATATATATATATATATATATATANTATATATATATATATATATATATATATATATATATATATAATCTTCTCCTGTTAATCAATAAATGAACGATTGTCCTGGTATATTTAATCTTTTTGACTTTTTTTTCTCACTAGCAATTCATGTTTCTCTGCAGTTTAAACATGACGACTTTTATCACAACATATAGGACAACGGTGTTATTACCCAGAGGCGAGTCCGACGCCTTCACAACTCATGTTTATCATCATTGTAGTATCCAATTTCTGACTGATATCACTCTTTATTAAGAGTACATCACCTTGACCGCATGACTGTTAGGCTAATAAAAATGTGCAATGCTACATTTAACAGATTTCAAGTTTGCGGGACCGATGTTGCGTCTTCCTCATCGGCCTCGGTGTGTTCATGAGAATGTAGAAGGTAGACCTTTACCCAGTTATGTATGATGCTATGTATTCAACAATGTGAGCAGACATATGTGTACTTTAATCTGTGGGAGTGTTGCTCTGTCCAGGGTGCTGGAGCACTGCAGAACCACCACGTGGGAGCAGCAAGCAGCACGAGGGTTCTGTTGCTAAGCGCTGTGTTATGAAATCTGCTGGAGCAAAATCGACAGTATATCCTCCTCATATATATTGTATTGAGAGTTAAATAGCTCCGTTTTCATTCCTAATGCCATTACGTATACATTCATAGTTGAAGGAAATGAACAAAAATGAGCAGTCATTTCAGAATTATTATGACAAAACTGATGTTTAGAAAGGCTTGTTCGTTTCATTGAAGATTATCGCAGATTTTTTCTTAATTCATCTTTAGATTCTCTTCCAAAGAAAAACACGCTTGTATTTTAACTTATCTGTTGAACAATCAAATGGTCCTCTGATCATCTAAGCAGGGATTTGACCCCTCTTTGCCTTTCCACAGTCTCAACGAGGCTTAGCTCTTAGTACGTTTAATATTCAAAGTACTTTTGAAGGAGATCGTTTTACAGTAGATCTTTTGAAATGTCCTTGGGATTCAAGAACTAATTTGCTCATGCAACATTTGCAAACTTTGGGTTCATCTTTATTGCCCTTCAGAGGTGTTGTGTCCCACGCTAGACAAGCTTTGTATTTTTGCTATCTCCCCGCTCAACCCTAAACGCTAAAACATGGACTGTCTGTGGGTTCCTGAGGACTGGATTGGCTTAGAGTAGCTTTACGTCGGAACATGCTAGAACAGGCTCCTAAGCCATTTCCTTTTGTAGGTGATTTCAGAAGTTTGGGATTTTGCCCCCTTTATAGGCAACAAAATATCACAGGAAGCATTTATGTATTTATGCTAGGCCAGAGGTAATCTTTGTACACAGCTCAATCTACTCTCTGTTCCCCGTTCTAAAGTAACCTTTACCAGCCACTGCAGAGAGAAAATGGCACTGATAAATCACGCAGATTGAAGTGAATGTTTCGTGAGGATTCCTTCTGTTTCTGTCACTGCATTATGATTAAAGGGGAAACACCACAGATCAGCTTTGCTCACTGCGATCACACCATTGCCGGCGTCGTCACCTTTATTTTGTAACTGTTCCTGGCATGTGGACACTTCTTCTTCCTGCCTGAAAGGAGTCTGAGCACAAATGCATGAGATCTGTCTGCTAAATTGAATGGCGGAGATAAAAATATGTCTGTCCCTCATGACGCACCCTACATTGACTGGCGGTAGATGTTAATTGCGTGGAATGTCTGCGTGCTGGTCCTGTCCGTCAGTCACTCCGTGTTAGCTGGAGCCGGATGTAGACTACCTCTGCACCTGTCTCTGAAATGTGCAGGTGAGTGTGTGTGTGTGTGTGTGTGTGTGTGTATGCATTTACTTGAGTGTGTTAGAGGTGCTGGAGGTGTGAGATGTGTCTGCAGCATCGCGGCCAATCAGATGATCAGTACCCAGAGCGCCGGACGACCCTGGTTTTCATTCAGACCTTGAGTCTGGCTGGCCTCCGTGCTGTTTCTTTGAAGTAACATGAATGACCCGTGATTAGTGTAAATTACATACATACTCAGAACCACAAATCAAATTTACACCGTCTGCTCTTTATTGTTAGATTTTTATTCATGCCGCAGTTTGACCGAGATGTATATTTTTCCAATTTTAATAGTAAGGAGCCCTGGTGCCAGACTGATATCGTTCAAAGGACCGTAAGGTTTGTGACCTGACCTGGCAAATCTCCTCCTCCACAACTATGGTCTGCGATTGATATTGACATTTTATTATTTCACTGGAGTGGAATCCACGCCTGTTTCATAAGATAGTTACGAATAAGAGGAGGCCATTCGGCCAATTGAGCATGCTTGGAGGGAATAAAATTATTGTGAAAAAGTACAATATAACATTGGTATTTAAAGGTGTGACTATGTGTTTTATTGGGGAAGTACGGTACTTTAACAGTACGGCTTGAGCCAGAAATGGTGCTAATGGACATCTTTGCACTATTCTGGACACTGCAAATGCTACACCGTAATTATGTTGTTGGCAACACTTTTTAATTTAGAAACATTTTTAGGCAACAGCATGGTTATTCTTTTCTTTGTTCCTTTCATCCATCTATCCATCCATCCGTCCAGCCATCCATCCATCTATCACTCCTTCAAATGGCCATCCAGGGTTGCATGGGGCCTGATACCTGTCCCTCGCTGCACAGGTTTGGGGACAGTAACATTACTTAAAGACAAAATCCAGCACTTCAAATACAGCACAGCAGCAATGTAAGTCAGCGTCTTGGTAATGTTCTTTCTCATGAGTTTATGGGGCACCTGCACAGAAGAAACCGCAGGCAAATACTGTCAGGTAATTATACCAAAAGATTCCGATAAATCTCTGAAGACCTAAAGCATATACGCACCTAAACAAAAGGTGTGTTTAGTAGTAGTGTAACTTTATGAATTTGTTGTATTTGTGTTATATAGCAAATATATGCAGTATAGTACAAATACTATAAGGTGAATTCATCCTATGGATGACACAATTGCATAAAAGTACTAAATAAAACCATGTCCAAATGATTAAATCATCTGTGTCCTGGTGGACAGTGTTGTTTTTCATTTCGGCTGGACCCTCGCTGTGACAGCCTAGGCCCTGCCGTGCAGTGGCAGCAGCTGCTGCTTGTTGAGGAGAGGTTGCCAGGCGCTCCCCGCCTACGGTGGCTGAGAGGGAACATTCCAGTGCTGACCTTAGAGCGCTGAATGCTGAAGCGGCTGCTGCGAGAGACTTTAAATAGAGCCAGAGTGAAAAAGCTCTGTGCAACAGTGCCTGTGGTGTAAGAGGCTTGTGGAAGAAGTTTTTCGCAACGACCATCTTACCTCACTCATAATTAAAATAGGTTTGGTATTGATTAAAACGTGCCTGTGGTTATATACATGGGACATTTACCTGTCAGTCAATTAGCATTTGGTGCTCTGTGTTATGAGGCAGTGTTTCACAGTCCAGTCCATTGGGGACCCCCAGACAGTTCAAGTTTTTGAACAAAAATGGACTGTCTGCCGGGGAGCTGGGAGGAAGCAAAAATGTGGACTGTCTGCCCGGGATCTGAGAGGAAGCAAAAATGTGGACTGTCTGCCGGGGACCTGAGAGGAAGCAAAAATGTGGACTGTCTGCCGGGGAGCAGGGAGGAAGCAAAAATGTGGACTGTCTGCCGGGGAGCAGGAGGGAGCAAAAATGTGGACTGTCTGCCGGGGAGCAGGGAGGAAGCAAAAATGTGGACTGTCTNCGGGGAGCAGGGAGGAAGCAAAAATGTGGACTGTCTGCCGGGGAGCAGGGAGGAAGCAAAAATGTGGACTGTCTGCCGGGGAGCAGGGAGGAAGCAAAAATGTAGACTGTCTGCCGGGGAGCTGGGAGGAAGCAAAAATGTGGACTGTCTGCAGGTTGTTTCACCTGAATCACTTTGGTCGGCAGTCCAAAGTATTGTTATCGATATGAGCATTTAAATGCTCTGTTTTAAGCCAATTTAGTTATATGCTGTGGATTGCACATAGGGTAACTATTTACCTTTTAGCACACAGCTAAACGGTAAATACTTGATATTGTCATAGGGTGAAATAAACTGAAAATGAAATGCTAATAGCATATCTAATTGCGTTCCAGGATATAGTGATTGGTGAATAGTAAAGTATGTACCTTTCTGTATAGGAATTCAT